GGTAAAAAATAGTTGGTTTTTTGTTGGAAGTTAGTAGTATGGAAGATTTTGATAGAAAGTAATTTAGTAGACAAAGTGGGTAGGAGAAAGTAACTTTACTAGAATGACAATGGTTTTTGCTCGCATACAAATGAGAGACTCGTGTCTTATTTATAGACCATAGCTTACATATGATTTCTTCTAGATAATTCTACATATGTCTACAAACCACAGAAACTTTCTTGATACTCAAGTTTCTCTAGTGAATTTTATATAATTCTGATTTTTTATTATTTTTGCTTGCCAAGCAATTCTATGATATTCTTGCCAAGCAATTTTAGGATCTTTTAGAAAATTCATAAAATATGCATCACCCATCACCTTCTATCAGCTCGTGCCTTTTGGACTAGCAGCCGCAGCCGGCATAAGCTTTCCCACTTTATTTTTTTAGTTAAAAAAATGTACCAGCCCAGTGTACATTTTTTATTTTATTTTATTTTATTTTATTCCAGGTACAAGCTCAAGTAAATTGGCGTTTCTGTTCTGATTGATATGAGCATCTATCTATATTTTTAATTTTGAGATGCCCATTTTGACTTGACAAGTATGAATCGGTTGGTTGGTTCTGCAGACATGAATTTTACACATTTCACTGCCAAAATAATCTATAATCTAAAAATAGATTACTATGCGGCAGGGATTTTGAGGTTTTGATTTTTTGACCATTAGGAGAAAAATGAAGACCACCTATGAGAGAAAAAGTCAAAAATGACTAATGAAATAGTGAAATAACGGTCAAAAAATCAATTTTTTAGGATGAAAAATCACAACGGGCACACCACATATATATTTTCAAAATGAAAACTAGGTAAAGAAAAGCCTCAGTGACTTCTGATGCCAAAGTTTGGAATGCTCGACAAGGCTGACCTATGAGTTCGATAATATCAAGGAAAAAGCCAAATTTAGTTGTTAATAAACCAACAAAGTCATAACAACAGAAATGATTGGGGAAGTTATTATAGTATATATCAACGAAAATTTTGTATACTGGCTACAAGGTCTATATAAACATCATCACTTGTAAGCTTTTACCATTCAAAATATCTATGGCTTTGAGCTTTTTTCGTGTTCTATAAATTTAATTCTCTCTCTCAAACATGTCGATGATGAAGGTGGAAGAGAAAGGTCTTCTCGATTATACACAAGATGGGACTGTTGACCTGAAAGGGAGACCTGTCCTTAGATCAAACACTGGGAAATGGAAAGCTTGTTATTTCATTGTTGGTAAGTAACAAATACCTGACACACGTCCTTAGATCTAACACTACGAAATGGAAAGACATGTACATCCATAGATCAAAAAGGTCATCTCGATTATACACAAGAAAAGACTCTTCTATAAATCTCATCATTTTTTATTAAAAGCATGACACGTGACCAATTTTTTAAAGCGACAGTAATACTGGAATTCAGGATCTTGTTTGCTCTGATGATACAAAGTTATTACTAAAAGTCCTATATAAGTAATAAGTTTTCAATGGCAGTTAGACTTGAATTCAGAAGCTTTGTTTGCAGCATCATGTTTCTTGGGCTGGAACAAAACTCTTTTTTTTTTCTTTTCATTTTTTTTTTTGAAGTTTCTCATGCCAGGCCTTTCTTTCAATCCTCAATTACACCGTTCATGGAATTCTCACATTTTGCAGTTTTATGAATTATGTGGACTCTATCACAGGCTATGAAATCTTTGAGAGGATGGCTTATTATGGGATTGCATCAAACCTAGTAATTTATTTGACAGACAAGCTCCATGAAGGCACTGTGGAATCTTCAAACAATGTTACCAACTGGATTGGTACTGTATGGATGACACCCCTTCTAGGTGCTTATATTGCTGACACTTTCCTTGGTCGGTATTGGACTTTCATCATCGCATCAGCCATTTACCTTGCGGTAATTCCTTTAATTTCTTTCGAACTCGATTCTCAGTGCATGTTTGGTACGCATAATTGATTACACTAAAATTTTAAATTCTTTCCTGTATGGTCGTGCTTCCAAGACCGTTTGATGCCAAGTTAATTCTAGTTTTCCTTTCTATAAGCTAATGGTTTGTTTGGTAAGATGGATTTGTATAATAAGAGACTAAATTAAGTAGAAAATGAAAATTAAATCTTGTAATTGTCCTCCAGTGCTCCAGCCTATGACTCTAACAGCAAACAATACAAATAAATATATTCATGTCTTTTTCAAGACAATTGATTCTACAGATGAATAAGATTTTAGCTTCTTTTTGTTCATTATATTGTCCGATGTCATGGAGTCCACCTTACTCAAACAAGCCAAAATGAATAATCCACTAAAAAAGGATAGTGAAGCCCTGAAGTAGGAAGAAAAAACAAACTCATAGTCATATTCTCTACCTTGTAACAGGGAATGTGCTTATTGACACTAGCAGTTTCGTTGCCTTCATTGAGGCCTCCATCTTGTGGGGATGGAGTAAAGGACGCGGATTGTGATAAACATGCCTCGGTGCTACAAGTCGGCATCTTCTACGGTGCCTTGTACATAATTGCAGTTGGAACAGGTGGAACAAAGCCCAATATCTCCACCATGGGAGCAGATCAGTTTGATGATTTTGAGCCAAAAGAAAAGTTCCAAAAGCTCTCATTCTTCAACTGGTGGGTGTTTAGCATCTTCCTAGGCACTCTTTTCTCTAACACTTTCCTCATATACATTCAAGAAAATGTGGGGTGGAGAGTTGGCTATGGCCTACCAACACTAGGGCTCGGGGTATCGATACTAGTCTTCACTGTGGGTACACGTTATTATCGACATAAGCCCCTGTCTGGTAGCCCGTTGACTCAGATGGCTCAGGTGCTCATAGCCACAGTAAGGAAGCGGAAGGTGGTTGTACCAGACGAACCAAAGCTTCTTTATGAGCTAAGTTTGGAAGAGTACTCTAAGCCTGGCCAGTTTAGACTCGATCGCACCGCTTCACTCGGGTACATATTTTCTTCCATTTTCTTTGTCTTTTTTAGCGTATTTCTCCCGTGTGTAAAGTTAACTACGTCATTGCTAAAACATATACTTTTTAATGAAATGATTCAATGGACATCCAGCCATAGGATACTAAATTCAATTCATTAATTATTGAATCACCTCGTCTATAATTTAAGCAGTAAGATGTGATCCATTTATATATTTAAATTTACAATAAAACTATTTGTACATCCGGTATTGACACCCCGGATGACACTCCCCTCACAAGAGAAGGGGGCCCACACGTAATAAAATAATTGTGGGCCCCCCTCTTGTGAAGGAAGTGTCATCCTAGGTGTCAACCCTGAATATACAAATAGTAAAGTCCATTTACAATAACAATAAAGTTATTTGTACGTTCGATGTTGACACTCCCCTCACAAGAGAGGGGGGTCCACACGTTATAAAATAATTGTAAGCCCCCCTCTTGTGAGGGGAGTGTCATCCTGGATGTCAACTTCGAATGTACAAATAGTAAATTCCAAATGCGCAAGTGGATTTATTCTTTCATCAAAGTTATGAAACCTACACAATTTATATAATGAGTGGTGGCAGGACTTAGTGATGGAGACAGAATTCGAATTCAATGGGGCTAGTCTAACTATGAGTTTTTCTAAACGCAAAATATTAAAATATTTTTAAAAAATCTCAAACTCAGTGGGGGCCCACCTCCCTTAGCATTTGCGGGACTTGAAAACTAAATATTATGCTATATGTACATAAATTCTGTAAAGATAGGTTGACAACATGCATACTTGTATAAAATCATCTGTTAATTGTTATTTTACTGGGGTACGATGTTGAAATCATGTTCAAAAATTATAACTGATCACTTCAATTCCTGTAGCGTCCTGGATAAAGCAGCAGTGGAGACCGGGCCGAATTCACCATGGATGTTATGTCCAGTAACACAAGTTGAACGAACCAAGCAAATGATTAAAATGATTCCAATTCTGGTTGCAACATTCATACCTAGTACAATGATATCTCAGACACAAACACTTTTTATCAAACAAGGCACAACCTTGGATCGAAGCATTGGTCCCCATTTCAAGATTCCCCCAGCATGTCTCACAGCATTTGTGACAATTTTCATGCTCAATACCATTGTATTATATGACCGATTCTTTGTTCCCATTGTACGAAAATACACGAAGAACCCAAGAGGGATTACATTGCTGCAGAGGATGGGGATTGGCCTCGTGTTGCATGTTGTAATCATGGTCACTGCTTTTTTGGCAGAACGAAAGCGTTTAAGGGTTGCCAGGGAGCACGAAATCTTCAAGAAAGATCAAACCGTGCCTCTTTCAATTTTCATTCTTCTCCCACAGTTTGCTCTTATGGGAGTTGCTGATAACTTTGAAGTTGCAAAAATTGAGTTCTTTTACGATCAAGCACCAGAAGGCATGAAAAGTCTTGGAACTGCTTACTTTACAACCAGTATGGGAGTTGGATACTTCTTGAGTAGTTTTCTGCTGTCAACTGTGTCTGATATTACCAAGAAATATGGAAAAGGGTGGATTTTAGACAACATAAATGCCTCACATTTGGACTATTATTACGCATTCAATGCTGTCCTGAGCTTTCTCAATCTACTGTTCTTTCTGATCGTTGCAAAGCTCTTTGTTTACAATGCAGAGAGTAATAATGAAAGGGAGTTACAGGAAGCCTTGGGAGCTCAACCGAACAAGTCTACACAGAAAGAGGAAATAACTTCGGATGATAAAGCAAGCTCGCTGACATCTTCATAACTGAAATTGTGATGAAATGTACATTCATGTCCTAAATGCAAATCCAAGCTTTTCTCAATCACATTACATGTACAAGGCTTTCGATTTTTTATCTTTTTCCTTGAAATGTCTTCATATGTTTACAGAGGCAGAATATGAGAACTGAACAACTGTTTAGACTAGTACCAAAAAAAATCATGGTGCATAGAGAGAAACCAATCAACAAAAATTACAGTAATTTTCAGCAAAATAAAATGAATCCAAAATTTTTTTTTATTATTCCACATTTCAAGATGAAAAATGAACATTTCAGCCAATCCATTTGATTCGACACAATTAGAAAGCATTTCTAACACATGACAATCTAGATTACATCGAAATAGAACATCCAAATAGATGGAATCATTCATTGTAAGTTGACATCTTTAACTACTAGACAGCCTGATCAGAGGGAGAAGGCAATAACCTACAAGCAGCTATAGTTTCTAGAATCCACGTGTGCGGAATGACTAGGGAACCAATTTTGGTGGCTAAATTATTTGCGTCTTCAAATCTCTGTAGCAAAGACGAACTTGCTTCTTCTGCAAGGCATCCTTGTGGGGAATCTTGATTATAAACAACCAAAAGTGTAGAAATCGCTTGCTCATTATGTCTTTCTGCAATCATTTGTTCCATGTTCTCAATAATGGTACCTCCACCAACTGTAACTAATTCTAGGAGGTCGTTCTTGTAGGCTGGCACAAAATCCCCGCTAAAATAAAACTGAAAACCATCAAAAAGCTTTGGTGCCTGTGCAACAAATAAAGAAAATATTCAGCATATAATGCCAACTTTCTAGTTATGATCACATCTACCAAATTGTGTTTTAAAAGAAATTTAGTGAACATAGAGCAAGATTGGTTACATTCTCAATTAAAAAAAAAAAAAAAAGACCGACATTTTTTCTATATCTAGATTCACATGGTTGGTGGAGTCCAGGGACATATATGATTAACGATAAAATATTTATAACAGCTGGAAAAAGCATCAATAACCAGCAAAATATTCTTGAACAGAATCATGATTCTTACGTTAGTTGATGCCCTAAGTCTGCCATTTTTGGGGCCATCACAACAACCATGATTGTCCATATTGACTTCATAAGGTTCTTCATTAACAGGACGATTTGCTTCCATGCAAGCTTTTAACCCTGTAATGTAAGAGTTACTCACAAAACATTAGACGAATCCAGACCAAAAAAGCAAATATCTAATTGCATTCTTCGAGATTTTCTTGGTCTATTGTGGAGCATCTATTCAATTATGTCCCAGTCTATTGTACACCGTGAATAATTCAGTAAGTCAAGGAATTAAGTATAAGATTTATTGGGTCTCCAAGAGCAAAAGCGTAAACAGTGAATAAATGCCCCTCAGCAGTCACCTTCCAGAGAATATCCTAGTTTTCCAAAATAACTAGAAAGAGAGGCAATGCACTCTTTGTTTGAGTGGCGCTTGATTCATAAAGAATGAATCTTTTGAAATCAAGTTATATGGGCCTTTTAAACTAATACCAGGCCACATGTCTCAAGATATGGAAACATTCTATCAAAGAGTCATGCCTCTTGGACTGAAAATCCTAGCTGTTCTTTAGCAAGATACTGTTAAATCATTGCTATTACCCAAACAAGCATTAAACAAATGCTTGGACACTCTTCTATAGTTTAGATATTTTTCTATTGCTTTAATTGTAATTACAATTCATTTTACAACTTTTTTAGTTGACGAAATGGTAAAACTAAAATAATATAATTATATGCCATAAACGAAATGGTATATAGAGCTTACAATCAATTGTAAGGATCCATCTTCCATTCAAAATTGCCATGAGAACTTTTAAAGTTCTACTGAATGCACCCTTCTCATCTGTGGCTGCAATGACGTGGGTAACATCTGGGCTCCAGGACTTGGACACAGTTCCACCACACAAGGTAGCAAATTTGAACAGCAAATGCTGCATACCATTAATCAAAATAGTATGACAATTATGTTATTAAAATTTTTTTACATGGCCGTATACAGTCAAGAATTCCAACAAAAATGACCATTATCCAAGAAGATAAATTGATACTAACCAATGCAAAACATGTTTTTTTATTCTAATATAGATATCCACAGTGCCAAAATTTTAACAAATTATGAACATTTTTCTCTCAGGTGAATTTGCATATAATGCATTTCAATACCATCTTTTGGTATGCATATTGAGGAAAAGATTAAGTGCCTGTTTGGCCTTCTTTAAAATTATAAATTGTTTACTACAATATTATTCTCCACCACACATTTACACAATAAAATATTCTACACACAAATCAATAAAATTTCGTTATTTTTTAACCACACATTCTCCAAAAAAATACTATTCAAAACTCTTTAATTTTCCATATAATGGGTGACAAACAGAGGCTAAATGTAGCATTCGTTTGGCTTCCATTTTTTCAAAACTCATTTTTAACCATATATTCTTGCATAAAATAATTCACACGTGACCCTAAAATTTTTTCTTATTTTTTAACCACATATTCTTCAAAAAACACTATTCCGAAATAAATTTTCATTCCAAGAACGAGGTTTAAACACTGTTAGCCAAATAAAGTCTTGTGGTTGTCCAATTTTTTTCAAACTATACACATTGTAAAGTAACCAACAAAATACCAACCTTCTCTTTGGAAGACAGGGAAGACCCACAAAAAACCAATTCCTTTGGCCCATTAGGAGAGGTTGCCCAAAAGTTCAACTTAACAGAAGATCTGTATGCAAAACAGAAACGTATCCATAAATTAGAAGTGATTAATAATGGTGATCTCAGTTCTCGTTATACAAGACATTACTAGATCAGTACACTTAAGAAAGATAAAAGACCAAGTATTTCTTTTTATATTATCTCTTTGAAGCCATGGAAACTGAAAAAAGAATGAGTTCTTTAGTGGACGCAACCATTGCAAAGCACAATTGCATTGGCAATGCTTTAGAAAAGGTGTCAAGACTATATATAAGCAGGCAGATTTTTTTTCATGTTCGGCCACTTAGAACTCCTACTATGTCTCCGACATTGCTCAAAACAAGTGAATTTTGTTTTAATAAATTAACAGATGTGTTTGTAGAGCAGATAGAGAGAGATTGCAATCGATAGAATAAGATTTTTCTCAAAAGCAGCTATGTTTTATATTTGGTACCTATTGTTTATACCAATTGATAAAAAGAAGTTATGTATAAAAAGATAATCATGAAAAGCCTCCTACATTCGAGCGGACGCTGAATAATGTTCACCATGCTTCTGCTTTTTAGAATGGGACTTCTCACTTGGAAATTTAGTAGATTTGTGAACTGGACATAGCATTAGAAAGTCATCCTGCAAATATGTTTTGACAAAAAAAAAAAAAAAGGTCAGTCTAGAGATTATAGGACTCATTATCACAAAACAATTCAAATTTATTAAAGTTTACGTACACAATCCCATCTGCAGCCTGGGATTTCTACTGCACAAGGCACATGATAACTTCGCCTGCAGGACTTAGCAAAGCAGCCAAGAGCTGCTCCCTTCAGCCCACATCTGCTGCACTTCAGCTTAGCAGCTCTTGCCAGTTCAGGCTCCAAATTCTTAATAGTTTCTCCTGCATAATATACCTGAGGGGACCTGCAATAAGAAACTTATGAGAACAAAAGTACAGCAAGGTCTAATATTTGTATTTACAGAATGGTCTTCCATTTGCAAATACTTTTTTGAGTAATGAGTTAACATTGAACCTTTTAAGAAACATACCTGTATCTCTGGAAAGAGAGCAGGTTATTTTAACAGTTACAGATACTCTTGTTCTAAAAATATCATAAATGATCATTTCAACCCAAAAACTTTTCATTGAAATTTAAATTTAAATTTTACATTAATTGTTATAGGTTATTGTTACAGTTTGTTATCAGTATTTATCAAGACCCAGCTCGGAATACCAGGCTGATCCCACAAATGTCATACCATTCTATGCATTTACTGTGAACAGGGATGGCCCTGGAAACAGTAATTAGGCTTCCTGTTACCTCCTTTCCATCTGCATAGTGAAGCATTGGTCCTGTACCCTACAATAACCAATTAAAATGGTGAAGAAATTATTAATTTTGAAGACTATATCAAAGAAAATGGATACACTTCATATCTTCATCAACATTATGCTAATTTTTATAGAAGTTAAATAATAAAATATAATTAATGGAACTTGGGGAGATAATTTAGGTCTAACACTTACATCTGTGATCTTGGAAGAAAGGCAGAAGGCACAAACGTTTCCATTCACATCTGATGCATCAAAGATTGCAGGTGGTGGAATGACAGTACTATTTTCCTTAAACTTAGGTTCCTCGTTACAGTCAGAAACTGCTAAATTATGAGGAATAATCTGACTGTATCCAGTTCTTCGTAAAACTTCCCCTGACAGACCATAACTTAGCTTCTTTTGTCTCTTGGCTTCCCTTGTCAGGAATGATTCCTGATAAATTATAGATGCATGATATGGTAACACATCAGTTGAGCATATGTTCACAATAGGTTTTACGTTGACTTAAGATTCTAACAAATGCTTAAACAAGATGCTAGTTGAATTTTGTCGTCAAGCACGTGAAATCATGATAACCTATACCATGCAATAATAAAGCAGTTCTTTAGTTCTCAGTTCTCAATGCATGTGGACATTAAAAGATGAAAAGTTAAACTACACATGGACAGAGGTGATTCCTCTGCCTATTCTCCGGAAGAGTACCATTTTTTTCAGTTGGGTTTTCAATTTGGTCTAATAAGCATTTTAACTTCCTGAACATGGAACGCCACCATGAACAGCATGAGTATCAGAATGTGGACATCGAAGTAGTCGGACATACGATTATAAATTAAAGTTTCAGTGGATAGAAACGTCATGTAGGGCTTTAGACCAAGGAAAGAGGACAAGAGTACTCCATAATTCCAAGGGATATTGAAGTTAACTCATATCGATTTTCTAAAACAACTGGAAAGCTATTTCAATATGACCAATATTCAATTGGAAAGAACAATCTCATGATCAAAGTCCTGACAAGTCGATCATTTTACAACAATTGAGTTTGTTTTCATGGTGTATAAATTCTACTGATGGGTAGTAAGTTCTATTACGAGAGTAGGAAAAATGTTCATAGTTATTTCCTTCTGAGATTTTTACTCTAACAATTCACCCAGCAATCAATATTGTGGTTAACAGATGAACCCAACTTGTGTTACCTTGAATTCAATTGATAAAGGAATGATGCAGCAAGTTGAATAATCGAAGGAAATTTTGTACTTCCAATTATACTTAGATGAAATGAGGGTTTGAATCTTACCCCATTTCTACTACCTATATCATCAGTGCAAACATCTGCATCTTTGGCATCACTAAAGGAAGGAGAGCCACCAGGTGAAAATTCCAAAACCTGATTCACATCTAGTTCTTCAACACTGTTCATTTTGTCATTCCAATCAGTAGACTGCAATGGAGATACCTGATTGCCAACTTTGAAAAGCATGTCACATCCACCTTGCTTCTCAAATTCTCCATTGCTACCATCACTTAATTGCACGCTTTTGTCAGTTCTCTCAGATGAATCAGTTCCATTAAGAACACAGTTGATAAATGAAGCATTGGACTTCTTATTTCCTTCTCGATGTGCAGCTTCGTTGGGCTTCCTTCTCAAATTTATGTCTGAAGTTAATACTGAAACTGGGGAATTTCCTGATTTTCCAGCATCTAGGGTGATCCAAGAGTTGCACAAAATTAGAGAGGTCAAATATAATCAAGAATTCTAGAAACCATTCTTCGTAAGGGATTTCGGCGTAATTACCAGAAGAAAAGAGCGGGGAAATAGTTGCATTGAAAGTAGCATCCAAGCTTCTGTAAACGGCTACAATATTCTCCATAAATGGAGTAGGCCTCCTTTCTGTACCATTCCATCAATTAATGTTGGAAAATTTCAAAAAATACAAATATCGATGCTAATCTTTAATGCAAGAAAAATGCCTATATTGTGTGCTACATCCAGTTAGTTAATGCTATCATGATAAGAAAGAATTACATATATACTTTCCTGCTAATTGTAAGATAATAGAATAGTTAATTTTGGCAATTTACATAACGATTACTGACATAGATATATGCTCTTGAACACTTGCATAAAACGTTAATGGATGAGAAATTTGTGGAGATGGATACTACTATCAACTTTTCTGGCATAAATTTTTCTTACTATTATAAACATAATGCTGCACAGAACCATTTTTATGGGATCTCTACAAAAAAGTATGGACCTGAGAGAGCATTGTGGAAGCTGGACTGTTATATTCTAGAGTACTATGCTAATGACCTGCTGCACACCATAGCAAGTTCTTGGGACCAATATGAATCACCTTAAAGAAATTATTCTAATTATATCTCATACATTTTTATCATTGCAAATTAATGTCTAGAAATAATGAAAGCCTGTGTAATACAGTGGACTCAAAAGAACCCGTTGAAAATGAGTAAGGTGGAATTAATTATTTTGAAGAAGCTGAATAGTTATTCGAGACTTTCTGTAATTAAGCCAGATATGTTTGAGAAGACAATAAGCTTTACCATTATATTACTAGCGAAGAAAGTATCAAGTATAACCCAAAAAATCTATGTAACAGTATAAAAGTATGCCATAATACAAAGAAAAATAAGCAGCTTGATTTGGATAATGTTATAGATATCTAAAATATAATAAGAATAGTTGTCACATTGTATTAACGGAAACACATTTGTTTTTATTAATTTTGAAAATACTTCAAATTTTACTGTGGAAGAATTCACACTGTGCATAGCTACTGCTAGATCTAACACATAATACTGGTTGTGTAATTTGACAGAACAATTAAAACTAATAATGAACGATTATGCAATCATAATGAAAACCCCAGATAATCTATAATAATCGGATTATTAATCTCTTGTTAAACTTATAAAGCCTAAATTAATGGAAGCTAGAAATTAGAAACTTAATACCTCGATCAGTATAATGATTTTGACACGCAGGGCACTCTGATCCAAATTGGTTTGACTTTGGGATGCAGAATCTACACAAACAGAAACACATAATTATATTAAGAAAAAGGAGACAAAATTAAGAAGAAGAAGAAGAAATAAAGAAAGAAAAAATTTACTTGCAGAATATGTGGTTGCAGGGAAGCAAAATGGGCTTATCTAGCAAGTTCAGACTGCAATACAAACAAGCAAAATCCATGAGACAAAACCCCTTTAATGAGACGGAATGGACAGAACTAAACAATAATTAAAACGAAAAATAACCAAACATATTCTTTGTCTAATCCTGTCTACTTACTACTACCAACAAAAATCCCATCTCGTAATTGAAATGGACAGAACGCGGTAAAATTAAGAAAGATAGGCAAGTGATGAAATTTTTCATTGTACGGTTTGATCTTGTCTAACATACAAACATATTGCAAGAAAAATGGCAAATGTTGAATATACCAAAGGGGGCATTTGAGCTCAAGACCAAGTTTTTGGAGATGAAAAGCCCAAGGATTCAGCAATGGTACCATTTTCTGAGTCTCCAACATTGATTTTTTCAGTTGGGTTTGAGGATTTTGACAAAATTAAAGATTCTGAATACACTGTGTATGTGTGAAGCAAAAATCTGCTACTGCCCATATGTAATGTCAAATTGAAATGGACGCACGGTTGTGATTCACTGCGTGGCGAATCTAACGGTAGATTTGGTGTCATCGAATTTTTCGAACTTGGCGCTAAGCCATCAATATTGGCGGGTTTGCCCGGGAATTTAACTCCCGCCATGTTCGTTTCGTCAATGGTATATATGGAATTAAGAAAAGATAAAGGGGGCAAATGTGGACAAGGAATTGGTTTTCCTATTTTTAATAGCTACTAAAAAGTAATTATATTCAAACAACAATTTTGATTTTTTGAATCACATTTTAATTGTTTTTACTATTTAAGGTTCTTAATATTTGCTAATATAGCCCCTGTTTGTTTCTCATTTTTGGAAGAACAAAAATGAAAAATATAGCCATTAGAGCCCACATAAAATATAGAAATTCAAATTTTGTGACTTGATATGATGGCTAACGGTCATATTTTTCATTTTAATGAAGAAAAAATGAGAAACAAACAGTGACATAATATTGACAATTTAATCACTTACTAAAAAATTAAGACCAGCCCAAAAAAATAGGGAAAATAGTAGAGTTTTCCCTAACTTTTCAAGTTATTTTCATTTAGATGCCCGACTTCCAAAAGTGCATTTGTGTGATCATGTATCCAACATTTTAATTTTTGGGGGGTGCAAACTTGGTGTACAGCCCCCTCTAGTGGTGTCCACGAATTGAGTCGAGTCGACTCAATTAAAATGGTCCTAACTTTTTAACGAACTCGAGCCAAGCTTTTGCTTAGCCAAAAAATCTAGGCTCAGGCCTTATCGAGTCGAGCCGAACAGGCTCTGTTCTTTTTATTAATATTAATGTTGCTTAAAAAAAGCACTCGACTGCCTAAAAAAAGGTAATCGAGTGCTTCTTGCTATTGTCATTACAATTTTTTTTTTATTGTTTTAATAAAAAAAACTCGCAAGCCACATGAGTTGGCTCGAGCTTGGCCAAACACCCCAAAATGGGGCTCGACCCAAGCTCGAGGCAGACCGGTTCAACCTGAGTTCGATTGCCATCCCTAACCCTCTCACATGGGGGCAGGGCCAGCACTTTAATTGAGCGTGGACACCTCCCCTCATGTGTGGGGAGTTACGAGGGGCTTTATTCTTAATTTTATTATACAGTTGAGTCTTAGATGCCATTTTTAGTCAAACAAGATGTTCCAATTGATAAAGATATTAAGTTTAAGTACTTTTTTGTGCCCCCATTATTTGTGAGTAATATATTATGAAATAATGATTAATGTTAAAATGTATAGTTAGAAAAAAAGGAATTTTTTTTATTTACGTGTAATATTATTTTAATGAAGAATGTGTGGCTGAAAATGAGTATTGTTAAAAAAATAATGTGATAGCGTGGTAGACAAATGAAGCCTAAATCTCATACTACATATGTCAAATATTTAATAAAAAAATAATTAGGTGTGCACGTGAAGAGGAGTATTAAATATTAAATTTAACTAAATAAATGAACAATTCTTAAATAAACCTCTTAGATCGAAGTGCTTAGTGGTGTATTAATTATTAAATTTAAATAAATAATTCTTTAGTAAACCACTTAGATCGAAGCGCTTAGTTGACTTGTCAAATGATTGATGGTGTGACATAGAGTAGCACAAAATTGAGTATATCCACATCGAGAATAAATGAAATTTTGAAGAAATGAGCCTTGTTATTTGTTTTATTGATCTTCTAAATCAGTGAAATGATTTAAAATGTAACTTATTTATTTTTGTTGATACAACAATACAACAATATCACTCTAAAGTCCATAAGTTTGGTCAATCAAATGATGACGACCGAATGTTATAAAGTATTTAGTTTACCCTTTAGCGCTCACCGATTGACTTTTTGAGATAGTTGAAATTCAATACCGACAAGTGAATTATAAATTTGAGTCACAAAAAATTCATGTTTAGCTAACTTTCAATTTCATTTAAAGAAATTTTTTTAAACCCATTTTGCTTTAACAGTTTATATTACGATAGTAGCATGTAGTTAGAAGTAATTTCTAGCTAGCCTAAGTTTTATGCTGACTTTTCAAAACGGTCCCAATTTTTAAAATATGAATGAACAGTAATTGATTTATTGTAGTAGGGATAATAGAAATAGATAATAGGGAATGAACATAGAGTTACAGTAAATTACTTGTTTAAGTCAATAATTAAAAGCAATAAAGCAATCGCATTAATTTCATTTTTGTGGATGAACAGTAGAAATAATTAAAGGCTCGTTTCAATGGAAAATTGCTGAACGAGTTTAACTACAGTAGGGAACCAGTTAAGTGTGAAAGCTCTAGCTCAAGATGAATAATAATATTGGCATCCTCTCTTCTAAGGTAAAGGGGATCTGTGTCATTATCCCGTAATTAACCATAATTAGGTTGGGACCAAAATGAAAGTTTGATATTCAAGAAGAGATTGTTGGGGTGTAAAATAGTCAGCTCTTAATATTTTCTTTTATTCCAATTGATATAACAAGTACAATACGTTTAGTCAGACATGTCGTTATTTAGCATGGAATTTGTGTTGGCCTACGAGAGTGACCTCTTAGATTTAGCCCCCCGTTTGAAAACAATTTTTCACTCTCGAATGGTAAAATTTTTAACTGTTATTTTACTATTCTAATTGTCAATTTTGACTTCTTTACTCAAAAATGGACATACTTTTTTCTCTAACGGCCAAAAAATCAATTCGCATAATCCTTACCGAGCAGGCACTTAGTTACAGCTTGTGGAGATGCCATTGAGAACAAGATCAAATGGTAGCATAAAGAAGCAATGAATTTTTGGTCATAGTGTGAGATAAGACACTGCCATATGATGTACAACATTTAATACTATCTACTTACAAAACAAGCCATGAATTTGTGAATCTTATTCTTGTGTTACAATGTGATCTAAACTGTTATATTGCGGAAATACATTTGGATACAATGAAAAAATAGAAGAAAAGGAAAACCATAAACATGCTCAAGAACAAAAACTTGGAAAATTTCATGGGATATTTTGATATTTCTATGAGCTTGCTTTATCATCCAACGTTATTTCCTCCGATCGAGTGCACTTGATCGATCGAGCCTCGATTGCTCCATGCAACTCCGTTTCGGTATCCCCCAGTTCTGTATTGTAAACAAAGAGTTTTGCAACTAACAGAAAGTAAAGTAAGTTGAGAAAGCATAGCACAGCAAAAAATGCATAATAATAGTCCAAACGAGAGACGTTTAGGTTGTCCAAAATCCATCCTTTGCCACGTTTCTCGGTAATGTCAGCCACAGTTTTCAGCAGAAAACTACTTATGAAGTATCCAACTCCAAAACTAGTCGTAAAATAGGCAGTTCCGAGGCTTTTCATGCCTTCAGGTGCTTGATCATAGAAGAACTCGATTTTCGCAACTTCTACGAAGGTATCAGCTACCCCCATTAGAGCAAACTGTGGTAGAAGAATGAAGATCGAAAGAGGAACGATTTGATTTTTCTCAAAGATTTCGTTCTCTTTAGCAACCCTTAGACGCCTTCTTTCTGCTAAACAAGCAGTTACCATGACTATGATATGCAACACGAGGCCGATCCCAAACCTCTGCAACATGGTGATCCCTCTAGGATTCATCGTGTATCTTCGTACAAAGGGAACGAAGACCCGGTCATATAGTACGATGCTGGACAACATGAAAATAGTAACAAATGCTGAGAGACATCCTGGTGGAATTTTGAAATGGGGACCAATGCTTCTTTCCAAAGTTGTGCCTTGTTTGATAAAGAGAGTGTTTGTCTGTGCAAACATAACAGCAGGAATGAAAGTTGCAAGCAGAATTGGAATCATTTTTATCATTTGTTTGGTTTGTTCAACTTGTGTCACCGGACATAACATCCATGGTGAATTTTGCCCGATTTCGACTGCTGCTTTATCCAGGAGGCTGCAGAAAGTGAAATGACAGTGAGTTACCTTTAAAACCGACTTTGAAAGAGGAGGGTAGTAATGTGCTTATAAGCCCATAAGATGGACCTTCCACAAGAGACGTGGGACTTATAGTATTTGTTATACATGCTAAGAAGACTTAAGAATAGGAGAAAAATGTGCACCTGAGAGAATTGGTGTGGTCAATTCTAAACATGCCAGGTTTGGAGTACTCTTCCAAGCTCAGCTCATAAAGTTCCTTTGGTTCGTCAGGGACGACTACCTTCCACTTCCTTGTGGTGGCTACGAGCACCCTAGCCATTCGATTCAACGGGCTATCAGATGGGGGTTTGTGTCTATAATAACGTGTACCCACAATGAAGAAAAGTATCGATACTGTGAGCCCAAGTGTAGGGAGACCATAGCCAAGTTCCCACCCCACATTGTCTTGAATGTAAATAAGAAAAGTATTGGAGAAAAGGGTGCCAAAGAAGACACTAAACATCCACCAGTTGAAGAATGAGAGCTTTTGTAACCTTTCTTTAGGCTCAAAATCATCAAATTGGTCTGCTCCCATCGTGGAGATATTGGGCTTTGTTCCACCTGTTCCAACTGCAATTATGTATAATGCACAGTAGAAGATGCCGACTTGAAATGTTGAGGCGTGTCTATCACAATCCGCCTCCTTTACTTGGTGCTCACAAGACGGAGGCCTCAGTCCGGGCAATGAAACGGCTAGCGTCAATAAGCACATTCCCTGTTACAAGGAATGGAAATATGACCAAGAGTTGTTTTCCCCGGTCTTATAAGGATTTCGTGGTCGTGTTTAAATGATTATACTAATGGTGTAAGCCGAACTATATAATACGAGAGAATGTTAAAAGAGAGAAAGAGAGTAAAACCATGTCCATTTTAGTGTCCAATCGTGTTTAAAGCTGTGTACTTTGAATAAATCAGTGTGATTAATTCTTGACAGAATTTTTACAAGGAACTCACAAAGGCATCAGCCTCACTTGAATAAACAGTGCTAAAAAATTAACCCACCTACCTCCATGTGAGGTGTCGAA